TAAAAGACCGTCGCCATGTTGTCTGAGGTCACCTGGACGACCTGGTGTAGAAGCACATCCTCGAATGATTGCAGGGCTTTGAAAATGGCAAGAAGTTCCAGAAAACTGATATGGTTCCTGCAATCCCAGTGACTCCATATCCCCTGGGTACATAGATCGGAGCAAATGGCTCCCCATCCCAGCAGGGACGCATCGGTGCTGAGGGTTACTGTAGGGTACTGGGGTCGAAACGGAACACCGACAGTCAGATTGGCTGGGTCTATCCACCATAACAGGGACTGAAGAATGGAAGCAGGGAGCTGAATCCGCTTGGTAGGTGGATCTGTCTGTGGTCGAAACATTCCACTGAAAAACAGTTGAAGGGAACGTAGCCTGAGTTTGGCATGCGGAACCACAGCGATGGAAGCAGACATGTGTCCCAACAGGCTCTGAATAGACCGGGCGGGGACAGTTCTTGCTTGTCGGATCTGAGCGATGCACTGAGCAATCGCATGCCGTCTGTCCCGAGGAAGGAAGGCTCTTGCCAACGTCGAATCCAGCCGGGCTTCAATAAAGTTGATCACCTGCGCAGGGAGAAGGGGAGACTTCTGTTGATTAATACAGAGTCCGAGGTCGTGCAATAGAGCACATGTAAACTCAACAGCAGACGAAAGCCCTGCCTCTGTGTCGGAGACCAGCAACCAATCATCAAGGTACGGATATATCCGAATTCCATGTAATCGAAGGTGTGCACAGACAGGAGCCATACACTTCGTAAAAACCCTTGGTGCAGTGACTAATCCAAATGGTAGCACCTTGAATTCGTAGATTTCAGAGTCCACCGCAAAACGAAGGAAGCGTCTATAACTTGGATGTATTGAAATATGAAAATAGGCATCCTTCAGATCCAATGAGGTGAACCAATCCCCTCTTCCCAGCAACGGGAGAATACTTTGAAGTGTGGTCATCCGAAACTTCTTTGGTGTTATGAATCTATTGAGAGCTCTCAAGTCCAATATTGGTCTGAGACCCCCATCTCGTTTCGGGACCGTAAAGTATCTGGAATAGAATCCGTGGAATCCCTCCGATAACGACAGGGAACTAATAGCTCCTTTAGCAAGGAGTTGGTGAATCTCGTTTAACAGTACCGAGGAAGTCGGCGTATAGTGGATAGGATTCGGTGATCGCACAATGTCGCATTCGATTCCATATCCGTGCTGAAGGATGGATAACACCCACCCATCAGATGTGATGGACTCCCAAATGGAGAGCCGACTCTTCAGTCGGTCCCCAAATGAGAGGGGGGAGGGTAGAGTTGGAATGAGAGGAGAGGTTCGCTCGTCGCATCAGCACTGTCACCTGTCCGTATCAAAGTGGCGGTGGCCCTGTTGGAAGCGCTGGGGTGGTTGTTGCCTGCGACGCTGTTGACATTGATGCAGTTGCTGTTGCTAAGGCGGAAATTGTTGACGGTACTGTGGGCGTGACCATGACCACTTACGTTGGGGTAGAGATTGCAATTCCATACGACAGGCGGTCATCCTTGATTCGTGGATTTTCTTCAATTTGCTATCCGTCCTCGCATGGAAGAGACCGGAACCGTCGAACGGCATCTCCTCAATTCTCTGCTTCATCTCATCCGGAAAATTGCAATTACGCAACCAGGCGTGTCTGCGGAGGGCAATGGCACCGACCAGCGACCTCGAATCAGAGTCTACGTGGTGCCTCGCGGTGGAAAGCTGTTGCACTGCCACCTGCATAGCTTCCTTAACAAAAGTCTTAACAAGTTCGCCCTGGTTTCCCGGGAGGGTATCAATGATGGCGTCCAGGTGTTGCATAAGAAAATATTGGTAACAAGCCACGGTTGCCTCATAATTAGAAATTCATAAACCAAGGCCCAAAGCTGCGTATACCCGGCGGGCGAGGGAATCAACTTTTCTTCCCTCCTTGTCACGAGGCGAGGCGTGTCCACGGGCTTCCCGACCCTGGGAGGATTCTACAACAACCGAATTCGGCTTGGGGTGATGGAGAAGAAACGGGATGTCCTCTTCCCGCATCCGATACATAGACTTGTATTTATGAGAAGTCAGTTGTGGGTGAGCTGGAAGGTCCCATGGCTGGGTCATTGCCTGCCGTAAGGTCGTAATAAACGGCATGGCAATATATGTGGATCGTTCACCCCGACCACATCATAAAAACGGTCGGTGCTCGGTCCCGGCTGCTGGTGGGCTTCAATATCGAGCGACCTCACTAGTCTGGCCATCAGATTGTTAAACGATATATACGGTTCCTTGGGCGACCCCGGGCCCTGAGAAGCAACCGCTGCATCCAGTGAGGTCGAGTCAGCCTCAGACTCGTCAGATTCCATCCAGTAGGGGGGTGGTACACTGGAGGAAGAATCTCCTGGTGACTCTGATCTGCCACTTCCTTTAGATGAGGCCCTCGGAGCGTCTCTGGGCGTTGAATGGAAACGTTCCCGAGGCGCTGGTGGCGAAGATTGTCCCCTGGAGGCCGGATAATAGGCCACGGAGTGGTACTCTTCCCTTCTCGGAGCGGAGGAGTGCCTGGAGTGGTACCAGTCATCAGACCTCACATCCGAGGAATGGCTCCTACGGTTCTCGGAGGGGAGATGGCGATCTCGGTATCCATCGGGATCAGAGGCATTGGGGTTGGTGATCGAGCTCGAGGTGGAGAATCTTGTATCTCCCCATCTGAGATGGAACCACGCTGTGAATCCAGAATGGGTTCGGCTGTCGTTCGGCGCGGTGAGCCCGGTGGAGTAACCCTCATAGCCGCCTGGATGGTCGGGACCGAGGGGGTCAGTTCCGAAGCAGGGATCGGAATCGAGGAAGTGGCCGAGCCCAAGTGGCGATGTTTTGCCTGCTCGGGGTTCTTTGGCTTCTTAACCGGCTTGCCCATCTTATCTTTCTTGGCCTTCTTATGCACAGGATATTCATCTGAGTCACTGTGCTTTCTTTTCTCCTTTTGTTTCCTCGGCAGGGAAACAGACTGGTCGGCCATGGTATGAGCACCTTCTTCAGAAGGGCGAGAGGGCGGAGCAATGGAGGAAGAGGCCGGGCGTTGCGGCAGGTCAGCCGAAGTTGGACGGCCTTCGGGTGGGGCCACAACAGTGGGGGGCTTAGCCACCAGCCGGTCCGATTGGAGGAGAGCCTGGTCCCACAAAGGCGGAAGCGGTTCTCCCTGTTCTTCCTCGCCTGTTTAGAGAAGGCCAAACAATGGCAGCACTTATCCGTTCTGTGCGCTTCCCCCAAACAAAGGAGGCACAGATCATGCGGGTCCGCAGCGGGCATTTTGGAGCCGCACTTCCCGCACTTGCGGAACGCCGCCCGTTGCGCCATCGTAGAAAGAAGAAAAAAGGAGATAGGAAAGCAGGAAAGTAATATTTTTGGTTTGTTTGTTTGTTTTTGTATAGGAACGATAAAGAGGAAAAAATGGTGCAAAAGTTAAGATGAAAACAAGTGGAGTACTAACAACAAGAACAAGGGATACAAACTTGGTAGGAAAAAAGAGAGATTTTCCAACGAGCAAGAAGGTAAGTAATAATCTTAGCGAGAGCGAAGCGGCACGAGGCACAACGAACAGCAGTCGCAAAGACTGGAAAATGGCGGACACTCCGCTCTTTATATAATGCTAGGGGGGAGGGGGAGCAGAGTTCCCGCCAAAAACCGTTAGCTGTTCATCTTCCGGCCATATGTGTGATGCACAGAGGCCACGACGAAGAACATTCTTTACTAAAAAAAGACTCCTGTTCCAAATTATGTTTAGTCTGCTATAAATCAAATAAATCAGTCTACAATACCTATGACTAAACTTCTTGCATTTATAACCACAGATTTCTAAGGAAGTGGCAAGCAAGCTCCTGTCCAGTATTAACCCCTTTGCTTTTGATCACAGTCTGGGCATATGGATGATCATGGAATAACTACGCGGATATCAGACAGCTGTGCACACAAGAAGCCAAAATGAGACCACAGCTGCTTTGGGTTGTTGTTTGTGGAGGGGGGGGATAAATGTGTGGGGGGGAAAGATAATCAACAGCATGTTAAAAAGCAAAGTCTCATTTCAAGTACCATCACATTTTCCAAACTTGGAGAAGAAGGCAATATTTTCCAGTTCTCTTATCTCCCCACAAATTTAGGGGATTAGAGGTATCAGTGGCCTCTTGTTCTTATGACAGTGTCTAAATAGCCAGATATGACATGGCCCCTGGAACAAAGTTGCTTTTTTGTGCCCTCATAAGGACAGTCTTGGCTCTGATTCAGCTTAAACACAAGCTCTAAAACTTTTCTGGAATGAGGTATTATGGCAGTTAAAAATATCTATGGAAAACATTTTCCATTGTTCTTGGGAGATGTGTTTCACATTCCCCCCTAAGGAAACATACGGTCTAGCTCTGGGCAATCTTTGAAACAGTTCTGCATGCTTCAGCATCAGCCTATGGCCATCTACTCAGAATTAGAGTAGAGTTCAGTTGGTCGCAACTTGCAGGTAACTGTGTTCATTTTTGAAGTGTAAGGATGGAACTTTGACATGTGAAGAATTCGGATGCAGATGGAAGTCCAGGGCAGTCCAGAATGCTGCTGCTCTACTGCTACTAAGACCAGGAAAGAAGACCATCGCTACATCAAATTGCTGGGAGCTGCCCCCCCTCCCCCACCACTCTCAGTGATCCTGGCAAATAGGGGCAGTTGTAGTCATGATGGAATACGTGTCCGTGAACACATCAATCAAGTGCTTGAGATTTATTTGTATTTATTTTAGTGTATGTATTTTAACTTGTTTACAGAAATTCACGCTTTGCCTTTTGCCACAGAGGACTCAAGGAAATTAATAATTAATAATTTATTACTAATAATAATATAGAAATTTATAAGTAAGGGTTGGGTTTTTTTTAGATTTTTTCACTATTTTATGAACTCTGTTCTTTCAACAACTACCTTTCTTAGTTTGACCAATGAAATACCGGTCTACCCAGCCATGCCGTTCTTCAATGGAAGTCTTACCTGTAAGGGTCCGTAGGGTCTCTGGCATCACAAACGTCAGCATGACCGTGGCATACACATCGTCCTCCAATGCTTATATCTTTGATGCTGTAGTAATACTAAAAGATCACAGAATGGTTTGACTTTTTCACCTTGCGGAAAAGTCCTGGAAATAAGTGCACGGCACTAGTACACAGCTAATTCAAGATGAACAGACCCAAGGGTACATTAGGTAAGATCCACCTGACATCCTCTACAAAATTATTCTTGAGGAATAGGCCCGTCAAGGAGGAAACCCCTGCAGGAAGAGCAGGGTGACTTAGGAAGCTCTACCACACCTGCTGCCAACCAAGACTGCAAGGCTATCTGGTAAGGCCAGATGATTACAATGACATGGCCACAGCGGTCAATGCATTTCCTTTATCACAATGCAACTTAGGGATGAAATCATAAAACAGCACTCACAGCCGGGTTCGGTGGTTTTAAAAGGGGGTCCAACACATTCATAAGGGACTGGCCCGTCAACAGTTATTAGCCATAGTGCCTATAAGAAGACAGCTTTTTTATGGGCAGCATACTTGGTCTTCCTTTTCTTCTGCTGCTTTTGACTTTCCCTTGCATGAATATCTTTTCCAATAAGTCTTGCCTCCTCATGACATGTCCAAATTAGGAGAGCTATGTTTTGCCAAGTTTTGCTTCTAGGGAAAATACTGACTTATTAAAATTAGAACCCACTTTTCCTGGATATTCGCAAACCTCTCTTTCAGCAAATGTGCATCTATTTTAATTTATGTATACTATTTTAGAAGAGTTTAGTGAAACTAGAGGCCCAAGGCAAGACCTGTGATATAAGTTTGCCTTCCACATTTTTGGTTTCCAGAGCAGAACACCATCACCTGGACCATTCAAGCTTTTTAAATATTTACTATTCATATCTAAGTCTGAAGAAAAATAGTGAGGCTTCAAAGTTTCAAACACCTCTGGAAAAATGTTCAGCTCAGTATTAGGTATTTCACCCAGTTGATTCCTAGGAAAATTCATACTATTGATTTAATCCTTTGAGGTGTAAAGTAATGCATACTGGAGTGAAAAATAACAACTTCAAATACAGGCTGATAGGATCTGACTAGCAGTGCCTGAGCAGAAAGGTGTAGGAATGAAGGAGGTAGTTGTACTTGGTGTGTGTTTTAGGGCCAGCGAGACATGGACTCTGTGGATAAGCAGGAGGAGCCCTGAGAAACAGAGCCTTCAGGGCTTATCTCAAGACCAGCCTCTCCAGGTGTTCAGGTGACCCTGAGAATAGCCAGAATCTGCAACTGCGGGGGGGGGGGGGCAGGGCAGGAAGCCCACGAGCCAGGTGAGCCCGGTACCTTCCTTGACTTCATGATGTGGTGTCAGGAGAGAAGGGCTAGCCAACCAGAGGCTGGCCTGCCTCCAGAAGGGCCATCCCAGAAGGGTGGAGCCATTGGTTAATCTAAAGGAGGATTCTTGGAAGTAGTTTCTAGTTTGGGTTCAATGAAACACTCTTTCCTTGCTGCTTTCTTTGGATGTATAGTGAAAAATCTGCACACAATTCTCTTGAATTGTGTCTTTGGGCTTGAATGGAGTAAGCCTCTCAAAGTCTCTCTATAAAGATGAGCTGGTAATTTCTAGAGAAGACATTAATTATATGAATACACATACTTCCCACCTCCCCGCACCTGGAAAATTTTGCATCTGCTGAAAAGAACTTTGAGAAGAGGCAAGTGCCTTCTTTATTTTATTTTTTTAAGAAAATGCATTAAGCTGTAGATCTTAAAAAAGAACTGCACTGTCTATTGTCCCATGCCTGGTGCTGGTTCTGAGTGATCAGAGAGCCAGTGTGGTACGGTGGTTAAGAGAGTGGGACAGGGACTCAGGCAACCCGGGTTCCAGCCCGTGCTCAGCCATGGAGCTAATTGGGTGGTCCAGCCAGAGACTCTCAGGCCAACCTACCCCACAGAGTCATTGTTGCGGGGAGAAGATTGAAAGCAGGAGGAGGAAATGATGCAAGCCACATTGACGTCATAAGAAAAAGCAGGGTGTTTATTAAATAAATAAATAAATAAATAAATAAAGTTGGCCACTCCGGGAAAAGGATGATGGACTAGATGAGCTTTTAGCCTTATCCAGGAGATTTAGTCTTCTCCTATGAAAAAAAGTAATTCTTCCTTTTCCTTCCCTCATGAGAACAATCCAGAGCTGCTGAGTGGGATTGATGCCTGAAGCTTTTCTGCCAGCTGTACTCTTGGACAAAGGTTGAATGGGAATGTTCCCTAACTGAGTTCTGTCTGTCGTTCTGTCTGTCTGTCTGTCTGTCTGTCTGTCTGTCTGTCTCTCTCTCTCACACACACACACACACACACACACACGTCTCTCCCGATCAATACTGTTTTTATTTATAAGTTGAATATAAGTTTAAAGTTAAGATATAAACATGCTCATGGACATATCATTTCCAAACAGATGTATACCCCTGACAAAACTTTAAGGGGCTTTCAATAATTTTTAGTTACTGCTTTTATCTGCTGGTTCTGCAGCATTTAAGCCATGTGGATTAATTGGATATGCTTTTTTTTTTTTTGCTTATTGTTGCTTTTTACTGCTTTTATTGAATGTTGTAGGCTGATGGCATCATGCAAAAATGGGGTTTAAATCCCACTATATATACATAAAGCGATTGCTATATACAAAGAATCGTCATACATTCATTTCTAGCATATAATATAAATCTAGGTAATCAAGGGAAATGTTCTCCGGATGGCTCTGGCTGCCAGCATTCTAACGTCCCTGTATTTTTAGGGTTATACGTTTGACCAGCATGGTATTTTTTAAAGAACATTAATACAACTAATTTGATAATTAGCAGTGTCAAACTGTTTCCCACTTGACCTGATCAGGAATTTATACGCCTATTAAGGCACTCAAAGTTTCCTGCCTTGTACAGCATGCCTGGCATCCTTCCAAGGCAAATGGCCTTGCAAGTTTATTCTTCTCTCATTTGTTCCCAGAAGGTCTCATTCCAGTGATTAGACTGATAGTCAAGAAAAACCTGAAAGTGCCTCACCCTCCTAGTCACGGTAGGGTCCCGTAATGCCTTTCCCATCAGATGACCAAGCAGTGTGTTGGTCCGCAGGAAACGTAAACGAATGTTGGTGGCTTTGGTGAAATTCCTCAGGAGAGGGGAGTACGAAAAGTTCATCGCTCCTGGACGCCCATTCACCAAAGAGACTACAATCTGCAGAAGGAGAGCAAGGCAAGAAAACATCAGATGGCTGAAAATCCATGTTTCCCAGTTTGGAAAACTGACTCTGCCTAGCAGTGGATTGATTTAATTCTTATCTACCACCAAAAAATGGCTGTCATGGGAGGTGTGGCTTGTCCCAATGGAGAGATAAAAGACATGAATGCAAGGCAAGGGGGGGAGCTGAGCACCCACACAGCAAACAACTCCTTTGAACTTGCAGTTTTCAAAGCCAACTTAAATCTATTTCACAGAAGGCAAACTCTGCTTCTCCTGCCAACATCCCACAACCAACTCATCCCTGTCCTTCATATCTCTTCTCTCTCATGCACTCTTTCCAATTCTCGTTGGATAATACCAGTTGCCAGTAAGATCATGCAAGTTAACTTTTTAAGAGGTGGGAGGGGAAGGACTGCTCTGCAGAAACCAGAAAAGTACCGGGTGCACTAATGCCCACAGGCACCACACTGCCAACCTCAATATATGGAATTGAGAACGAAATCTAGTAATTCACTCAAGATAGTGCACTAGATTCATTCAATGGAAATGCAAAGTGTTTCTCTGGTTTAAATCCCTTCCGAAGACTCCACTGGTTCTCTGAACATGTCGTTCCAATAACGCCAATGTATTTATTGTTCTTGTCCTGATCCTTGCACACAAAACATGAAGTGACAATACACAGACTACACGATATGTTAAATTGATCCGCTATAGACTGGCACTGAATACTGATTGGCCCTAACATTGGCAACAGGTTAGGTTCAGACAAAAGTAGCCATGCTTAGCTCTCAGTGAAATGAATGGAACAAAGCTGTGACTGTAAGTCCCACATATGTTAATGGGAACAAAGTTCAATTAGCTTGAACGGGACCTGAGGACTCAATGCAAAATACTGATAACAGATTTACCTCCACTTCGATTTTTAGTGCACGCATGTTAATTTATATCCAATTTATGTATAGCACTGGCTACTTCACCTGAGAATTCCCCCCTTTTCAAAAACATCTTGGAAAGATGAGCAAAGATGAGTTTTTAGGGATAAGAAAGCAAACATGAGTAAATCCTAATTATTAAAAACCTTAACCAAGCAGCACAAAATCCCACACCTCAATTGATCTGCTGCAAGTGAGGCGTGTCAATGTTCTAATCCGAGCCGTCGTTCTGATTGAATCAACAGTGCGATGCTCCTCAGAAGCAAGTTCCAATGTTTTTGATGTGGCCCACTCTCAGGTAAGCATGTACATAATAGCAATATTAAATCCTTTAGGATTGGCAGTTATATCAAAAACAGCAGTGTCTATTTTATTAAAATATGCACATTAATTCTTCACATAAAATTAATTAAGGGAATTCTGTACTTTCTTAACTTCTTGGGCTTTGCATTTCTCCACAAAGCCCTCCCCCCCCCCGCCGCCCTTCAAATAGAACCTTTTGCTTTCTGAACAATCATGTCTGTGGCTGAACAACTCCCACCACCCACCAAAGCCAATCTGAGCAGAGTTTGTGAGCTGGAACAGTTTTGCCAGCATAGCTCAACATCACAGCAATGCACCAGAGTTTCCCAGGCGCAACATCCCATTGTCTAGTATCAGCTGAGGAGAGCAAAGAAATGCTTAAAGGGCTATCTTCACAGGGGATGGAAAGGGTAAGAGCTCACTTGTCCTCCAACAGAAAGGATTTTCAATGAAGAGACTGCAGGGTGTATCTTCTGTTTCCAATGTTTCTTCCATGCAAGAATGGAAATAGATATATGGCAAAAAATTGGAGGCCCAAGAACGTCTTTTCCACTCGTAAAAAGGTAATTTCTACCACTTACAGCAGCAGACTATCATTTGGAAAGGCAGGGTATGTGCTCAAAGAATGAAAGCTTAGAAACCAAAGGGCAGCAGAACTCCTAGCATCTGCAGATGTGATTCCAGCGCTCTGAACGGCTCCATACTGATTGGTGAGTCCCAAGCTCTACGTCCTCCCCTCATCCACCTCCTTTCTCTCCTCACCCTCCATCACCAAGTACTTTTCTTTCTTTGCCCCATTAACTTGAACCTCACTCAATGTACAGCCAAGCAAAGAACAAGAAAAGCGCTCACCTCTCCATTCTCCAAGGGCACTATGCGAGAATATTCGGTGGTGCAGATGGCATCATCATCTTTGGTAATCCGTTCCACAGTCTTCAGGCCAAATTTCTCTATACAATCTCTTTTGGAAGCTATTCAACACAGAAACCAAGAGACAAAGATTCATATTTTGGAAGTGTAGATTTTACCCCACATAAATTAATTATAATAACAACATGCATTTATGTAGCACTTTCTAATAGTCAAAGTGATACACACACCTTATCAGTTTAAAAATCCCTGAAAGCTAGTCTGACATCATCTTCCTGATACTTTTTGCGAATGGGGCAGCATAGAAATAGTTTAAATAAATAAATAAATACTGCAGGTGGACTATGGCTGGGAGAAAGTAGCTTGCCTAGTGAATTCATGGCAAATGTCAGAATCAAAAGATCTACCAGTTCTCTAGCTCAGACGTTTAGCTATAAACTGTATCAGTTTCCAAGTATAAATGCTAGAAATGAAATTAAGAAACAAAACCCCACAGAATGGAGATGGGCCACTTGGAGTTTATGAGGAGAGTGTTCTTTTAAAAATTTTCCACACAACATGCAAGGATGACTACTTGTGAAACAGCCAAGAGGCAAGTGGGGTAGAAGGGAGAGCAAATGCAGAGCAGACTGTTGCATAAGATGAAGGTTTTGCCACATGGATTTGTTTTTCTCGTCTCTTCCTATACGTTTTTCCTTTGTGTATCAGATGTTCAGATTGTAGTTCTGAGGACAGGAACTATATAATTTTTAAACCTTTGTGTGTACTTAGAAGATGTCAGGTACATCACATATAATAGATACAGTAATTATTTATTAATAATAATAAAGAGACCCAGATTTTGTGGATGATCCTGGCAAGAATATAGAATTACATCTCCAGGAGTCTCACACTGGTCACTGCAATGACTCACTGGTCCAGTCTGAATCCCACACTAATAAATGCAATATATATGCCTTAGTGTGATGTTTATAATACTTAACCTCAGAAATCAGATATTTCTCTTGAGCCCTGCTTAATTCTTTATTTTAAACAGAAAAAGACCTCAATGTGTTTGATATGTAGTCATAATTCAATTTAAAGAGACCATAAGGAAAAGAGTTTAACATACTCTTTGTATGTAATTTATATTGCTTTTAAAACAGTGTTATTTTTAAAGGGATCATTCAGTTATTAATTAACGTAAAACAATTTGTGAAGATCTAATTGCAATGAAAAAATAAATAGCTTGTCAACTTTAAAAAGTCACAGCAAATGACTAATTACGATGTAAGTCAATGGATGGAATTCAGCTGCCAGGAGTGTCAGTCTGTGAATATAGTATGTTTAATTGGCTAGGGAAGCAGCATAAAATATTCCTCCATTAACATCCAACACTACACAGTGACCATTTTGATCTGCTTCTCATGTGTAAAAGGCAAAACTTCAGAACCTCAACAGAGCAGCTGGGGAAGCTTTCATGTGGTCTCAAACATTTCCTTATTTTTTTAAAACTTGATGTTCCACGATAAACAGGCATTTATCAAACCCCTATCACAGACGAAGCGGATAAACTATTTTGCTCTGGCTTTCTTTGAGTCAGTGCTACAGAGCTCGCGCTTGCCATTATGTTCATTTTCTGTAGCTAAGTAACATTTCTCTTTCTAACAATGAATCTTCCAAAGTCACATTTGGGCAAAGACACATTTGGGAAATGTAGCAAAAAGTCTTTTGGATGCTTACTGGGTGCATCTTCACCACCTTTGCCCTAAGAAAGGTAAACACATTGGAGTTCATGTGGCTGTGGCAGCTGGGTCATATTGTGCTGCATAACTATTTCTGTTGCTAATAAAACACTTTTACATCTTCCAGATTTAACAGAATATGGTACTTTCTGTATTCGATTATTTATTATTCATTGGTAATTAATGGGGAAAATATCTGAAGACAGCCCTGAGTCATATCCAAACTATATAGCTTTTAGTTATATAGTTTGGAAAATAAGTATAACTATATAGTATTTTCTGGGTTGCTTTTATCCTTCTAGAACAGGGTGTGTGGGGCTCTCCAGATGTTGCCGAACTGCTCCCAAGCACCCCAGGCAGCAAGACCAAAGTGAGGCAAGAGGAAAGATGCAGCCAATAACTTCTGGAAGGCTACATGTTCTCCAGTGCTCTTACAGACATATAGGAGCTTTTCTGTTACACCAGAGATCGCACTTTGGTGCATCTGTGAACTGCTATGAGAAAAAGAGGGTGCATTTTGAAGACCGAATTTTGAAGACTTAGCTGAATTGTACGAAGGGATATCTGGCCAAAAGAATCTGCTCCAGTAAGCAAAGTCCATCAGATCCTGTGGCCCATTCACTGCGTTAAGCCTCAGCTTTATTCACATGTCATGGAAGCTTCAGGAAAAGCTCTGATGTCCACTGTAACTGTACTGAACTGCATGTTTATTGCCAGCTAACAAATACGAACTGCCTGACCAACCAGTGTCACTGAACAGGAAACAGAACAAGCAACAAGTTTATCTTACCTAGAGCTTCTCTACAGTCAATGCAGCTGTAGCACATTTATGATATTACATTGTATTTTGCACTAAGGTATGGTACAAATGTTTGCATTAAACAAGGCACAAAATCTGATACAGGATACAGAACTTGGTAACCCGAAACATAAATCCCATACCCTTCCCTTCTGCCGTTGCCTGCAAAAATCAGAGAAGATGATATTCAACAAACAGGCAAATATATGCCCGTATGCCTGTTTAACTCTGACTGCAGATTTTAAGCAGAAAAAATCATTTATTTTGGATCAATATGTAGATATCCTTTATCAGACTGTGCATACCTTTGGGTGCTGAAGTGCACAAGCATGTCTTTAATTCAGCATATCAAACTGAACTGGGCTGGAGGGCCAGAGTCCCCCCTAGGAATGTTCAGTTTTTATTAAATCCATGCTGCCTTGTGTTTTGTGGATCACTAGATCCCTTTCCTTCCACTGACTGTTTATTGATGGAATCAGATTTTTTAAGGATGTGTAAGAATTTCATTCAACTTGGGCAAGCGTGTATTTGCACTAATGTATATTAGAGCAAGTTCACACTTGCACTTATGCATACTGGCACATTTATGACTTTTCACAAACCCATCTGAAAAGGAGAAAATCCACCAGATGTGCACATCACAGAAAAACCTGGTCTGCTGAAGAATTTGCAGAACAAAGTCACAGAAATCTGAAATCATTCTAATCTGTTGCCAATTCCTCCAAGGTCCCTAGCTCTGCATTCAGCAGTTGGCCAAGGACCATGCTCATAAGTTGACCACAGAAAGCAATCAAGTCAGCTGTCAGCTCCTCCTGATTTTGAAATCAAGCCATCAAAATGCCCTTATGTTGTTAGTCGTGAAGTCGTGTCCGATCCATCGTGACCCCATGGACCACATTCCTCCTGGCTTTCCTGTCCTCCACCTTCCCCTGGATCCACCCAAGCCCACACCCTCTGCCCTAGTGACTCCATCCAGTCACCTCATCCTCTGCCGTCCCCTTCTGCTTTTGCCTTCAATTGTTCCCAGCATCAGGCTCTTCTCCAGGGAGTCCTTCCTTCTCATTAGGTGGCCAAAGTATTTGAGTTTTATCTTCAGGATCTGGCCTTCTAGAGAGCAGTCAGGGTTGATCTCCTCTAGGACTGACCAGTTTGATCGCCTTGCAGTCCAAGGGACTCACAGGAGTCTCCTCCAGCACCACAATTCAAAGGCCTCAGTCCTTTGGAGCTCCGCCTTTCTTATAGTCCAGCTTTCACAGCCATACATTGCAACTGGGAAAACCATAGCCTTGACTATACGCACTTTTGTTGGCAGGGTGCTGGCTCTGCCCTTATAGTTGCAGCGAATTATCTCCTCCATTTCTAGTATTGAACCTCATTGTAGAATCTAAATTTTTTTTATTAAACTTGTCTCTCGCTAAATTGGCCTAAGGGCCATCTAAGTGGATTACAGTCAAAATATGGCTGACCCTTTCGTTTAATGCCCCTGCTTTAAGCAGTAATGTGGGAAGAGGTTGTCTGTCTCAGCAAGAGTCCACACTTTTTCAAAAAGAATAATGAGAAAGCCTTTTAGAACTCAAATGGTACACACCACAATGGTACCACTGTACTGGCATGGCATGCAAGTAGGAACCAGCAAGACAGTCATTCAGATCCCAATTTTATTAAAATTCTCTTGTTCAAAGAACTTTATGAAGAATATGCGATAAATAAAGCAATCCTTCAGCAAATGCCACACACTCTGGATATCTTGGTGGAGTGGCTCTGTGCCATAAGGTGCACAGCCACTAACATGTGCTCATATTGTAAAGGAAAGGAGGGTTATTAGCACACCCAAGGGGAAAATTCACTGTATCATCTTTCCAGATATTCCTTCACCAGGTTTTCCTGTTTAAAAGATCATCATAAAGCTTAACTTACATCTTCTTCCAATTACTGCTTTTGCTCCCCAGAGGAGCCAGTGTTTAATATATTTGGAGTAACTTGGCTACTCTTTGCATGCTTCATAATGATATATTCATAGAACAAGCTGGCGCTTCTCGGGAACTTAAATATCAATTTCTGCTCTGGAAACCAGTAAGTAGCTTCAAACCCAGAAATAAATCCGCTTGTCTAATTTTCTTAATTTTCCTTTCCCAGGGAACTACCGGAGGAAGAACAGACATCCCGAAATGTCTGGTCAGCCATGCCCTCTGTCTAGGCTGCAGGAAACAGTAACTTGTGTCTTTTCACAAGACAAGCAGGGCTCCACAAACAATGACGAAATGAGCCTTCGCAGAATAGTCACCTCTTCTTCCCATGTTCTGTAATATGTTGATACAGTAAGATTCCTGCCAAACTGGCCTTGAGACTGCCAAATAGTTAGATAAAATTTTCTGAAAAGAAGTGACACAAACAGGCTTAGTGCCACATGGGCCAAAAAAGGGTGAGTTTCTGGACTAGCAGCTCTGTTGATACGGACGCTGCAGACTGGAAGGGCGAGAAAATACAGTACAGGCTGTGGAATGGAAGATGTCTGGTAGGCTATGGGTGGGCCACGTGATCTGTGCAAGTAAGTCGCACGATGTATTAGGTGAGGGAGTTGCTTGTAAGTCAAAGCATACCAACTGACCCAAAAGATACCAACAGCAACAGTACATACGAATGTAGTTCTAATACAGGCCAAAGTCCCATAAAGAACTTCAGTCCATGTGTTAAAAAGTAAAGGGGCCAAAACTTCCTTTATTATGGTTACTGCTTAGCATGAAAAAACGGTGCTTGTAACAAACTAGCATGGGAAGGGGGTGATGGATACTCCCAATTTGCCAAGGTCGGCAAAGTCATTCATAAAATTTGCCATAATGGGTATCTCTCCGTCCTTTGGCAAACATGACAAAGTTGAACAGTGGAAGATCAGAAATAATCTCTGACCTCATACTATAGTTTTGAGTTCCTCTGAAGCACAGTATACCGGTAATGATTCATTCTCTCTGTTGCTGAACTTGGTACTAAGAAAGAGGGCACCTAATTGTCACTTCCCTTGCACTGAGCTTTGGAGGTTTTCCAAGTACTTTTAGATCTCAGTATGGTCTCTGAGACGACCCTGCCCTTCCCCTAACTCAGACATGGATCAGAGCTGAGGCAAGCACAGATTTCAGCTTACAATAAAGATGACACAAAATATGTGGCCTCCCACCAATCCCCCCAGCCACAGAATGTTTCCAGTTCCACTATAGCGTAGAGGACATTAGAAAGATGTTTATGGAGACACAGTGTGACCACTTTTAGGAAGAACCTGACAACCTTAGGCTGCTGCTGGTAAATATAATTTTCCCAGGGAACATCCTTGAACAGGTGATACTGAACTATCTCCAGGTTCCCTTGGATGAAACTGATTATCCAAATACATTTCTGTCTGGTTCAGGATGGGTTGTGCCACAGAAGCAACTTTGGTCACACTGTAAGGTGACTTACATTGGGAGAGAAACAGGGGGATGCGACCCCATTATATTCCTGGATCTTTTGGCAGCTTTCAGTATCATTAACCATGGTATCCTTCTGGGATAATTGTCTAACCTGGGACTGGGGTGAGTACTACACTGCAGAGGTTCAGTTCTGGCTCCTACCTGGATACTCATCTTCACAAGGTACTTCTTGGGTGGGGGTGGGAGGGGTTGTCTCCATGGGATTCCCCAGGGGTTGGTCTTATCCTCCCTACTATTCACTATCTATATGAAACTGCTGAGTGGGGTCATCTGAAGTTTTGGAGAACATTGCTTCAAGTATGCTGAAAATACACCGTTGTATTTCTCGTTCTCTTTTCCATCAGGTGCAGTGGTAGAAGTGTTAAACTGTTGCCTGGCTGTGAAGATGGACTGAATGTAGGCTAATACGTTGAAGCTCCATCCAGACAACACTTAGATGTGTTAGTGGGTAGTTCTTCTGACCTGCTGGAGGGTGTTCAACCTGTTCTGGATGGGCTGCATTTTTGCTGATGAAGTAAGTTCAGTTCACAGGTTGTTGTCCTCCTACAGCAAACTTTGTCACATGAAATTCAGGTGGCCACAGTGTCATGGAGTGTCTTCAGCCACCTTTGGTTAGTTGCATAGCAATGTCCCTACCTGGACAGGTATAACCTAGCTTCAGTAATCTACACGCTACTAACTTCCAAATTAGAATAATTCGATGCAATCTACATGGAGCTGCCCTTGAAGACTATTCAGAAGCTCCATTTTCACATTTTTCTCCACTTTACTTTCATACTCACAGGCAAAGTACTGCCAAGGCTCATATGTAAGTCCAAAATCAGTAGACCGCTCAAGTACCCACAAGTCTGGACGTGGAGAATTCGCAAACTTGATCAGAACGTAGGCCACGTGGAACAGCTGTGAGAGGAAGAGGGGGGAAAATTAATGCAGGCCACAGCTAAAATGCTCTATGCAGATCATGATACAAAAGACTCTCCTCCTGCAAGCACTGATGGTATAGAGCAGAATCTCCCAAAGGATTGCTCTGGACTGCCGCTTGCACCCTCCTCCACAGTGCGCCATGCAGAAATCAGGAGAACTGTGGCCCAACACTTCAGAGGTTTGCCCAGTTAGGAAGCCAACTGCAGATAAACAGGGCAGGAGTTTGGACATGGGACAACACTCTAGTCTAAAGTTTTATCCTGGCACTAATAAGAAATCAAAACAAGAAAGTATGAACCAGTTTTTTCTTTCTTCCCCTTCCTTGTCACATTTCTCACATATTTTGCTAGATTTGCTTGAATTTTCATCAGATGAAGCTGGAGATGCCCAGAGCACTTAATGTATTGCTATATTATCCAACCATAATGGCAAAGACCATTCTCGAATGTCTTTTTGTGAGTAATCTCCTTTCAGAAAAAGATTCCTTTTAATGCTAACTGATTAGCAGATCTAGCTCCTGTTTACTTCTTCCAGTCAAGGTGGACTGCAGGACAGTGAGGAATAGCTTCCGAGCTGACCTTTTATTACTCTCTCTCAATTACCCCAGTCTCAGTTTTTCTTCCTCCAAAGGAAAGAGGAGAGAGTTCTTAATTACTCATTTCCTCCTAGTGCCCTTTTCTAATTTTAAAATTGCTAGTCTGGCTTCAATCATAGTTTGGGATCACAAGAATGAGCCTAGCCTTCCACCCAGATTCATGCACTCCCCTCTCTTCTGACTTGGCTACAAGAATTGGAAAGTTTTTGCTTCCATTTTTGATTGACCACAATTGACTGAGCCACCAAAATCCAGGTAATCTATAATCAATCTTAACATGACTATTTCAAACCACAGTCAATGAAGCTAAGTTGTGTTCATAAAACCAGTGAGGCAGGGGTTAAGGGTCAGAATTAGTGTGGATTTGTGAAGAGCAGTCAATTTAAATCTGAAGCAGAGGAACGCAAAAGCCTAGAAACAAGCTAACTTCATTCTCATCATGCTAAACCACGGTTTAGTGTTACATCCAAATGCATCCGCTATTTCATCATTAAAAAGAAAGAAAAGAACGAATTAAAGTTTTCCCTATGGGAAGAGAAATTGACCCTGGGGAAAGAGATGCTACTAATTACTACTGAACCAAAAGAAATACTGAAAGAGACGTGTTCAATTTAAAGGAACAGGGGCTGAGAAAGTTTAAAGAGCTTCTTGCCTGTCCACACAGAAAAGGTTGGTGCTGTAATTGTGCTTTATTACCCTCACTCCTCAAAATGCCATGAATCAGGTCTGAAAATAGAGAGACAGCTTATTGTAAAAATATTGGAATGCAAATGGCTAACAGCCATTTTGAACAGATATTTCACAAAACTGAAAAAATGATGTGAGGGCACAAAAGATGCCCCATGGCAGAAGACTTCACCTCTTCTTACAGCCTTAGTAAGCTGTTCCCTACACAGCTATACGTGCACACTGTAAGAACTGCTCTTATGCAGTTAATGCTCTACCAAGCCAGCCACATGGCAAGGAAAGAATTTACACACACCCAGTTAGTGTCATAGACCAGAGTAACAAGTAGCTTCTGATAAGAACTTCAGCATTCAGCCTGAACGATTCCCAATTAGCTGAAACACTGATTTATGCAACACTGCCCTTGCCAAGACTGAAATAAATGTACAGCTTAAAAATGTCAGCACTAGGAAAAAACAAACTCAGCAACAGAATTTCCCTTCACGAGCTGGCACCAGTTCTCTCCAAATAATCTTCACTTTATCATCCTGTCAAAAAGTGATATTTAAAGGCAGGAAAAAAATACTTTTTATCAGTCAGAATGCATAAAGATCAACGGCCACAGGAAATGTAGCACTTTCGAAAGTGCATGTTTTCAAGTCGTCAAGGCAGGGAATTAAGCTGCCTGTGACTTGCTTGGCTACAAGAAACGTTTTTACATACCATACAATCCAAGGAAACTTGACCCCAAACCAAGAGAGGTTTCCAGTTACAGTATTTATCCTCTATTTTTAATTTACAGTCTCCATGTCTGAAGTAAATGTACAAAGATCAACGATAGCACTGACCAAGCTCCTGACTGCAGCTTAGGACTGGGGAATGTTCCTTAAGCCCATGTGCTCCCCTCCTTTCCCCTCTCACACATAAATTCTCCCTTTGTTGGCCTAACCAAGCTTTGTGTTACCTTTTATAGGAGAGGTTTTGCAAGTTGGTTAGAAACAAGCATGGTTAGGAAGAGGCTATCAGTGGCTACCAGCTTGCTGGCTTTGTGCTCTCTCCTTGACCAGAGGTGGCCTGTCTGCATATTCCAGTGGCTGAGGAGCTGGGCAGGAGGGGGTCTGGCACCCATCCTGCTGGAGGGATCCTGTGGGCAGCTGGTTTGCTGCTGTGTGTACAGAGTGCTGGATTAGATGGACCTCCAGTCTGATCCAGCCCCATTTGCCTTCGGTTCTTATGTTCGAAAGTGTCGATGCAGCTGTAAAGCATGAACCATGCTTCCCTCCAATGAAAGGCAGTGGAGAACCTGCACAGAAAGGGAAAGCATGCACAAAGCCCCCAGGCACTCTCAGTCCATGGTGAAGAAATCAAGGTGTCCTAAGACTGTTTTACACCTTTCCTGTAGAGGAGTAATAAAACTTCTTTTAAAAAGAAGGGAACAACTGAATGGCTGGCAAATAAAAATACGGGAAGGGGATGCTCCAATCCCATTCTTGGTTCTGAACCAGTTATTTATGCTTTTACAGAATTTGGAATGAAATTGCTAACCAAGACAAACTGTGGGAGCAGGAGCAGAATATATGCATATGGCTTCCATGGATGAAATAGTACAGCATGAGATTATTCAGAGGCTAACCAAAGGCAGGTGACCCTATCTGTCCACATGAGCTCCTGACAAGCAGCAGCTCTCCCAGATCTCAAGCAGAGGCCATTTCCGTCACTGCAAACAGAACCCCTTTCAGTGGAGACGCCAAGGATCGCACACATGGTCTTCTGCAAAGAGAGCGGTGCTCTGGGACTGAACGACCGCTGCTCACCACTGGAGAGAAGCAAGTTCTCTGTGGTGTCAGAAAGATTATTCTGCCGGCTGAGCACTGCAATTTTCACAGGCACTTGTTGTGTGTAACCGTGCCACGGCGCGCACACATACAGAACCGTATCAGGAGCAGAGCTGCATGAGAGAACAGGAGTTTCAATCTTATTTTAAAACGTTTCTAACACATATGAACTGGGTTTTAAAGTGTGTGAGCAATGCTGAATTATCTAAAAAATGAGGGGAAGGGATGAGAGTGGAATTTCCAATAGTTGGGAATTCAGGTGCTCTGGAAAGCACTGTGCCACTCCTATTACCGGAAAGGGATTTGTAAAAGATGCAAAGAAATACTGCTGAGCTTTGTTTATAATTTGCACTATCTCAGTACATAATTTTATTCTTTCTAACTCTCCCCATTTTTTATGTACAGGATGCACACGATCCCTACAGAAATCAACAAGGTCTAACATTTGCTTTTGTTTCCAAATGAAGCTGTACACAACAGCTACACCTGCAAGAAGTTAGACACAGAGTAATACTGATGTGGGGACGAGGCTCAGAAGTTCCCATACAGAAACTGGTGTCCACTGGAGAGATCTACAAAAGAGAAACTCGTCATCTGACATCAAAGCATTCCTACAATGAGTCAGCTATCAAGAACTCAATCTGAACCTCAACATCACTGCCTCATTTTGTAGCACATTGAAGAGTCTTCCTTACTTTTGCCCACACAACCGCTGTCTTATGAATACAGATGGATGCCAACAGTATTATTCAGTTTCATCAACCTTCTTCTTAGCTGAACTCCCAGGCTAGATTCTATGGTCAGCTGCGTTCCCTTAGGACCAGTTCTCACTGCTTTACATCTGTTTCTTGGCAAAGAATTCACTGCTAAACACCAAGCCATTAAGCTATGCATTCTCTTGCATTATAAATTCTTCCATGGAATGGCTTCACTCTTTAGGGAACAAGAACATTCCTGCCAAAACTTTGCATGGCTTTGGTATGATGGGCTTCACCATTTCCTCTTCAGTTTCTCACAAAATCCACTAAGCTGAGAAAATTATATGCAACTTGGCACTCGGTAATATCTGAGGCTTTGATCAGGGTGGTCTTTCGTGGATGACAATTACATGGTAAAGGCCGTGTCAAAAGACAAAGACATTTTCTCAAGATCATTTAATACAGATTAGTTATCCTTGAACATGTTTCAAGTACCCTTCAACACTAAACATAACAGCCACTGTGACTGTCACTAAAAATAATGAGGTGCAAGCAAATAGTTACACAGGGTTGTAACAATACTTCTTATAAACAGGCAGTGAAAGAGAAGAACAATCATTTTTACACTTTTTTTCAGCCTGCTGTGTGGGGGAATATAAACAGGTGGCTACAACATGCAAGTAAGAAGTAAAGAAGAGTCCTGCTGGATCAGGTCTAAGGAATACAACTTTACTGTCTGTTTTATAAGTAGTTTCCCCCAGTGATGTTGTAAAAACTCTGGGCATTTTGAGAAAACGGGGAGGCAGGCAGCCCCATAATAAGATTATTGGGGGGAAACAATATATCTATATTTATATCCTTATCGCTTCTCAATATGTTTTAAGGACATAAAAACAATGCATCTAATCTAGCCATATACAGCTACACTGATTACATTCAAAACTATTCAAACACTGAGTTTTATTCAAACACTTAGGAGATTAGGAAGAGAGGAAGGGCTGTAGCTCAGTGACAGAACATTTGTTCTGCATCAAGTACATTCCAGTTCAATCACCACGTCTCCAGGCAGGGCCACGAAAGGGCTTTCCAGTCACTGTAGGCTAGGGATAGGCAAACTGGCATGCTCTGGATAAGTGCAACTTCCATCATCCCCAGCTATCATGCCCAGTGCTCAAGGATTAT